GCGCCCCAGCGTTTCGCAGATGAAATCTGTTTTGGTTCCAATGGACCGTCGATCCAAAGACCGCTACGGCTCGGGTGCTACCTATGCGTTGGGAACGGGTGCGGAAATGAGCGACAAGGTTGGTGGAGACTGAGGGTGTTTTGACCCTCTTTTCTGCTCCCCACCCCTGGGTTTGGACGGAGGGTCCAGCGAGGTGTCGGAGGGTCCGCTTTGGCCAAATATGGCTCCAATATGGCCCCAGATAGTGAACACCGTTTCCGAGATCGCTCAAGATAGCCTGACATGATTGAAGAGAACTTTCAGCAAATCTCCAAGAGGCTTCAAAAGACCGCCCCGAGACGGCTCCAAGTGGCAACGGAGCCTCTCCCAACGCCCCCGACGGACTCAAAATCTTTCCCACACCTACAGAACCTACGTGAGTTTGGCCTTCTCGCCGTTTCGTCGCCAATCGGCTTCGCAAGCCTCACGACGGCTGCAACATCGCCGGGAACAGCCCCTATATGGGCCCAGTTGGGCCCCAAGCCGGCCCCAAGAGGCATTCGGTCCTCCTTGGCTGGGGGCCTCGCTTCTCCCCGCCAGAACTTTTCTTTGGACCTGTGTGTTCTTGATTCACGCAGGCGCTCAGTCGCTCGCTTGCTCACTCACTCACTCACTCATTCAATCGTTCACTCACTCACTCACTCACTCACTCTCCTCCTCCTCCTCCTCCTCCTCCCCCTTTTTCGTCCTCCTCCTCCGCCTCTTCCTCCTCTTCCTCCCCCTCCTCCTCTTACCTCGTGCATACCTTAGCGGCCGGTTCCTCTGACAGGGGCAGCTGTGACTCATGGGCCGCTAAACAAAACAATGGGCCTCGGGGGTCTCAGGTCGTCTGGCTGAGCCCAGTCCTTAACACACACTGGCAATCTCTCCTGCTCCAGGGAAGTAATGAGACTCCCTCCACCTTTGGTGATGGTTTCAGGCTGGCATAGCACGCCCAGCATTTGGAAGAACGCGGCGTCGCACCCCCCCCCCCCCCACTGGCCCGACACCAGAAAACTCAATGAAAAACAGCGCGGCCACTGTGCAAGTTGAAAAGATACCCGATGCACGGGCTGGAAAGCCAAGCCAGCTCTCTCTCCAGGGCCTGGCCGAGACAAACAGATCAAACACTGCATGCGGCCCCTGGCATCCTTCTGCACCGAGTGGGCTGACTGCTGAAGCTGCTCCTGCGACAGAGCCCGCCTCTCCGCCGCCCGAGCTTTGGCCTCCTGCGCGCAATCTTGGCGCGACGACGCGCCATAGAGAGACGGGGCCTGCTTTGTGACCGCGAGGGCCACCGCCAGCAAGTGGCCGCGCGCCTTGGCCGCCTTCATGTCGATGGCCGCTACCGCGGTCAAAGCAAGGGGCGGAAGCTGGGCCCGACGAGCGCCCTCTTCCGCTGCAGCGTCTGCCAGACGTTTGGCGAACCAGGTTGTGGGGGCGCGTGGCCCGCCTCGGCCTCCTCAGCCGTTGACTGACTCTTGATCTCGCGGGCCTCAACAGGCCGCTGACCAGTCACGGCCCGCAAACTCTTCAATGACAACTGATTGGTTTCACGGCGCCCGCGGGGGCCAGCTCTTATGCCATCCCCCGCAGACTGGGCATCGATCGCCAGTATTAAAGGTCCCCCCTTTGCCTCGGCCGCCTCTGTTGCAGCCGTAATCTCGGAGATCGGCACTGACAGCTTCCAACGCTCCAAAAGCCGGGGCCCCCACCCCAGTGAGCCCCACCCGTCCATCACCACGAACCCCACCCGCATCTTTGGAGCCTGGAGTCACCATGGCACTTGCCTCCTGAGTCGCCAGGAGCACCAATCATCGAAATGGTGAAACGAATTTTCGCGCCATGCGCCACGGCGCCCCCTGCGACCGTTGAGCCATGAGTGGGGGGGAGCGGCGCGGGGCTATACCTCCTAGCCAATGGCAGGCCCACCCATGCTGGCCTTCGCGGGCCTCCTCCAAAAGCTCCAAGCGAAAGCGCCCCGGGCCCCCGGGCCCTGGGCGCTCCCAACACGGATGGAAGAGGGTCTCTTGCGGGGCTCCACATCTTGGGCACTTTGCTGCGTTCCAGGGATGTCTGCGCGGCCAACAAGCTCTGGAAAGCAGTCAGGCGATTGCTCCCAAGGGCCCTGATCATCCTCCTGGACTTGCCTGACCAATCCCAAAAAACACCCACTTCATCCCCGCGCAGACCGCCGACTCCACCGCGCGCCTGGGGCCCCTCAAAGGCTGGCCCTGGCACCTGCGCAGCGGCGGCGGCCGTGTCAGGAGGGGTCGGAAGGGGGCTGGGTCGCTTCTTCTCCATAGCGCCGACTAGCAGGCCAATGCGCACCTGCCTGTCATGATCATTGCGAACAAGCCAGCTGCGACGCATTGCTCGCATTGCCCTTCTTTTTCAGAAGGCGGCCACGCGTATGCGAACGACTGTGAGATCGGGGCCACGCTCGAGAACTGCCTTGAAAATGCGCCGCCGCTAGCTCCCAGGCCCGCTGGTCCAGGGCTCCGTGCAGTGCGTATTCAGACATAGACTGCGGATCAGCTTCCTCCATGTCACACTGAATTTCGCCTGGGCCCTGCCGAAGAGTCGGGGAAAGAGACCCCGCCCGAAGTCCAAGAGCGGGCCGCCGCAGCCACCGGGACCCCCTTGACTTTGCCCCGTCGGTTTCTGGCCCCTACTAAACTGGAAAGGGTGTTGCTCCAGGCGGCATGAAGAGCCCGGCGGCGGGTTGGCAGACGCATGGGCAAGAGTCCTGCCCACGCGCTGAACAGACGCAGCCTGCCCAAAACCATGGGTCCCTGGTGCGCCGTGCGGAGGGCCATCCTAGCGGTCGCAGTCGCGCAGCCTCCTTCATCACGGCCAACTATGCCCGAAATCTGCGCTCGCACCTTCGACGGCGTCGAGAGGGCCGCTCCTCGGGCCCCCACATTCCCCGCGCGCCCTGGGGTGCGACGCCGGTTTCGACTGAAGACGCGGCAGCCCCGGGCGTTTCGACAACGCGCCGAATGAGGTTGCCCCTACGGGCGCTGTCTTGCAATCTCTTCTCGGCCGCTGCGACAGTTCGCCGATGCGCTGCGCCGCCATCCCCTAGATCCTCGACGACCTGCGAGCGCTTGAGCTGGATGCTAAGGCCTAGTCTGCGCTGGTTCTCATCTACCACTCTGGGGGGGCTCCTGATGAAGGCGATTTTGCTAGATGTCCTCAAGCTTTAATCCTGGCAGCGCCAGGCTCGGGCGCGCCGCCCTGCCCGCTGCCGCCGACTCCTTGCCTACAACCAACTGGCTACAACCATCCACCCAGCTCTGCACTTCCACACGTCTGAAACCCCCATGCCGACCCGATAACATCTGCCATGGCGCAAGACGAGACATATCTACGCTCTGGGAGCATCCCGCTAAGATCCCTGAGAAGGCCTCCAGGGGCACCGACATGACCCCATCCAGCCCGGCACCTTCGAGCTCCAAAAAGGAGACTGAGACCGATGAAGAGGTGGGTCAGCGGAAACTCAACATTCGCTCCTACATGCCACAGCCGCTCTGAATTGATTGCGTCATGGAACTTCTCGAGATCCATGAAAACTGCTGGAACATCGCTATTTCTGACTTGGCCTGCCTGAGACTCGCTGCCCTGAGCGAGCTCGATCCAACAACCGTTTTATCCCACGACTGCGCATTTGCTGCGGACCAGCGCGCTACATGCCAGCGCCTGGCTCGTGACCAGGCCCGGCGCACTCGTTGCGCGAGCGCGGTCGGTTTGTCGGACTGTTCCAGCTTGGACATCAGCTGCGATATGTTGACTGCAACCTGGTCTGGCCATCGCAGTGTTTGCTCTCATAAGTTGCGCAGGAAGGTTTAATGGACCCGCGCGTCATGCGGGAGTTGCAGCCACCACCGCGGGCTGGATTTGCCAGATCCCACGCATGTGATCGGTCTGACACACTTCAAACTTGCTTGCACTTCTTCAACTGAGATGGGGTCCGCGGAAAGGCAGTGGATTCTGGCGGCCCGCCTGAAATCCCGCCACCACGGCTGGCCGCGTGGGCCCCCTCCACCTCTGCCCCAAAAACTCACCCAGAATTCCACATGTGCCTGACACCTTTCGGCGAGTTCAACCATGTCGGCCCAGCGTCGTCGTGCTGAACCGAAAGAGGCTCCTTTGGGGCCCCAACATTTTGGTGCGTCCACGCGCGACACCCGCACCTCGCTTTAGCAAGGCCTACACCCACTCCTTACAATGTGCGGAGCTGGCCCTCATGCAATGGTTCTCGACCTCTTTCATGAGCCCATCGGCCGGCTTGGCCTTCCGACGCAGCTGCCCCTCGCCAAGGCTACCCAGGGGCGCCCCAGAATCGCCCGGGGTTCCCAGGGCGGCTTTGTCGGCGCCACTTGTAAAGAAATATGAGGCAGGCCTTCCAGGCTCTGCCTCACCTCGCGCATGCTCTCCGCCACCCCCAAGCTAGCTCCGCCGCCCCCCGTTTTTGTTTTAAGCCATATGAAATCGTGTAGTCTGGCTTCGGGGCTAGACAATTGAGCTGAGAAGTTTAATTCAGCTAACCAGCCTTGAGTCTTGTTCGGCTGCTGGCGGTAGGATACTCCTCGCGAAAACTGCACTGCTGGGGCGTAGGCGCCCTGTCTGCTGAGGAGCAAGCTGTCGGCAGCCATCGCAAACTCCATGTCAACATAGCATGCGCCCCCTATCTCGTGCTGCTGCAGGGCGTCGCGCCTCGTTCCCGGCGTGACTCTCTGCTTTGCCTCCGCACAGTGATGCTGCTAAGGCCTATCGGGTCCAACTGCACATTGGCAATCAATGGGCTGCTTCATGATCCGCTTCATCCACTTCAGACCTGTGTACTTCAAGGTGCCTTTGATGCCCGCGCGGCGCGTGGTGTGTGTGTGTGTGTGTGTGTGCGTGTGTGTGTGTGTGCGTGTGTGCGTGTGTGTGTGTGGTGGTGGGGGGGGGGGCCTCTGCGCGCCCCACTCGAGCTGAACCACGTGCTAGATGTTGCAAGAGACCAGGCAGTATCCGATCAGACGGTTGCCTCCAGGGCGCCCCCCAACCGGCGTCATCCAGCTGCCGTCGAGGAAATATGTGAATTCCAAATGGTCGACCTCACGCATCTCCATGGTCCAGCTGGCCATGACACATGTATGCCAGACCGCAGACTTTGAAATACGCGGACGCTGCTGATAGCACCCCACGCTGAGCCCTGCCAAGCCTACTCCAATGGCCAGGTATATGACTACATCGACGACGCCCCCAATGTCGTGCATCCTGAGCGTGATGGTAGCCGCCTCCAGACCATTATCCTCCTGTTCCTCCTGTTCCTTCTTTTCCCCTTCTTCACTCTCATATCACTCCAGCACTCATGCTCAAATTGTTCACGCCCATCACGGGGCCTACGTATCACCGGCCCCTTTTTTGTTCACGGGGTCCATCACAACCATGTTGCCTCTCCCGCACACTCAGCCACATCACTTCCCCACTCGGCCTCATTCACACTTGGAAACACTCAGACTCATTCAAAGAATTCGCCTCGCACGCAGACCCACTCATACACATTCGGACTCTTTCATCCCGACGCAGTCTTCATCACCCAGACTCACTCGAACATTTCTGGCGGTCCACTGCTCAACGATACAGCAGGCGTGATACTTGGGCACCCGAATGGGAGATCCGCCAAGAGGTGGGACACTCGACCGTTCGCGCTCAAACTGTGAGGATGTCTCAAGCGGTGTGCCCGTCTTTGCTCGTCCGAACTATCTCTCTCGGCGGCCCAGTGTTCGCTGAGATGCAGCGAGCGTGGCATTTGGGAACCCCAAGGCGGGAGCCCTCACCGGATATGACACTCGCCCGTTGGCGCCCTGATTGTGGTGATGTGTCAGGCGGTGTGCCGGTTTCTGCCGGCCAAATGTTTACCTTGTGGTGGCCCAGTGCTGACCGCGGTACAACCAGCGCGGCTTTGGGGCGCCCCACGGGGGAACCGACGGGAGCTATGACACCCGCCCGTTCGCGCCCACATTTGGGGATTCTCAAACGGTTTGCCTGCACCTGTGCCCCAAATTCTTTTGTCAGTGGTCCACAAATCACCGCGATACAGCAAGCGAGGCACTTGGGAACCCCAAAGGGGAACTGCCAAAGGGTATGACGTTCGCCCGTTCGCGCCCACATTGCGGGTGTGTCTCAAGCGTTTTGCCTGTCTCTGCCCCCCCCCCTCTCAGAGTTGTTTGTCTCTTTGAGTGGCCCACTGCTCACTGCTCAGAGCGACGCAGCTGGCGCGGGGCTTGGGTACCTCACGGGGGAGCCGCCCACGGGGATTACACGCGCCCGCTCGCGCCCACATTGTGGGGATGTTTCAAGCGGTTTGCTTGTTTCTGCCCCCCGAACTACTGCTCCCCGCGACATAGCACGCGTGGCATTTGGGCACCCCGAAGTGGCGCCGTCAAACCCGCTTGCGCTGCGGGGATGTCTCGAGCGGTTTGCCCCTGTTGTGCCCCCCGTCGACTTGTCCTCGTTCAATTGCCCACTGCCCGCCGCGCTTGAGCACCCAAGGGGGGGGGGGTCAGGAAGGTCAACATCGGGCTCCTGGTCGTGCCGCATCGCCGAGGAGTCGGCCATGCTGCTCGATCTGTCAACTCGATGTGGGCGGCCTGGGATGTGGAAGCCATAAACACCGATGCTTGTACTCCCCGGACCTCTCCTAGGGTGCGCTCGGACAAGAACTTCGCGGTGCATCCGGCGGTGGCGACGAGAGCACCCCAGGAGGCCCAGAGGGGGAAAACGAGGGGTCCCCAGGATGCCCAGAGGGGGGAAAACGAGGGAAGGGTGGCGGTACGGGCACCTCCTGCCTCCTCGGAGGGTCGACAGCCAGGACGGGGACGAGGGCGGCCACGACGGCGGCAGCCGCAGCGTCCAGGCCCCCCCCCGGGCCCGGGAGCGGTGCGCGCGCCCTCCCTGGCTCGGCCCAGGGAGGGCCTCCTGGGCTCCGCGGCCCTCGGGGCTCGCGCCCCGCGGGGCGCGGCGCGCGCCGCGCGCGGCCGTGCTGCAGGGGCCCAGGGGCACGCATGTAGACACAAGCAAATCCCAAGATCCCCCGAGATTTCCCCATATCCTCGGGTCGTTTCGCTTCCCCCGGCACTTCCAAAATTTTCCGGGGGATCGACGACTCCTTGTGTCTGCGTGATTGCCCCCTCCCGACATGTTCGCGCCGCCACGCCACGACCTGGAGAGGGGCTTCTCTCTCAAGCCCGGGCCGTGATACGCAGAGCGCGATTCTCTCCTCGCGCGCTCGCGGGCGACCTGGGCCTGCGCTCCACCTGAGCCCGGGATCGGTGAGTTTCTTCCGCGAGGCTTGGCCGAGGCGTTCTCACAGATCTGCTGCGACAGGTGAGCTCGGCCAGGATCGGGGCATGTGCATCGCCGAAGGGGAGGGAGGGTCCTGGCTCGGATTCGGTAGCTGCATCATCCATACAAAGGGGGGCCATCGTCACTCTGGCCCCCGACTTCTTCACCGCGCCATCGGGGCCAAATCTTCACCTTGATTTGGTTCGTGGACGGTCCCAACGACGAGATCACTGAAAGAGTTGCCGCCTTCCTGTTTCAGAACGTTGGGGGTATTGGTTATTAATTCTCCCTCCTCCTGCAAGCCGAACTCTAATGGACACAGGAACTGGGGACGACCAATTTTCCAGTGAAAGGTCCAAACAAAAGTGGTCACCCAACGTCTACGTACCTCTGCCCTGACGAAGTTGCCCAGACGACCAGGTGGGTCCAAGAAGCCTCCAGGAAGGCTCCAAAAGGTTCCCAAAAGAGCCTCAAGTGACAAAAACGGCCGAAGAGGGTCCAAAGATGCTTGCAATATTGTCAAAGAAAAAACACGCTGAATCATTACAATGTGTTCAATGTGTGTTTGCCTGCCCCATGCTTTGCTCCCACGAGGACGGCCCGGAATCGCTTCAAGACGGCGCCCAGAGCCCGCAATATCGTCCGAGACGGCCACACGGTGACCCCCCAACTCGCCCAGGATGACCCACCTAAGCCGCACGATGCCCCAAGTGGGTTATGATCAGAGTGAGGGGGCCGAACGGTCATTCATTGTCCATGGGTGCGTGGCTGAATCGGGAATTTGTGGTGAGAACCATGCTTATTGCGTTACTATTGCTGTTGTTATTATTATTGTTGTTGCTGTTGTCACCCGCTAACCTCCCGCGACCCACCCCGCGACCCACCCGCGACCCACCCCGCGACCCACTCATGACCCACCCCGCGACCCACCCGCGACCCATCCGCGACCCACCCGCGACCCATCCGCGACCCACGCGCGACCCACCCCGCGACCCACCCGCGACCCACCCGCGACCCACCCGCGACCCACCCCGCGACCCACCCGCCCCACCCCGCGACCCACCCGCGACCCACCCTCACGGGAGGAGAAACCACCCGGACCTGACAATTAACGTTTACTAAACGGCCTTGGGCGTTTACTAAACAGCCCTGCCCTGTTCGATACACTCCTGGTGTGCGTTTACTAAACGACTTCGCTTGTAAGGGTGATTCTCATGGCATGGATTTTCTGCCCGACCCACCCTCGACCCAACAGACACTCACCCGCGACCTCCCCACATTGGTTTAACGAAAAAATCGTCGCCTGCGGCGGGCTCTTCGCATAAACTTTGGTGCCTGCGGCGGGCTTCTCCAGAGTCTCGCAAACTGTCGACATCCCCACCGCCCCCTCACTCTTATCCGCATCTGCCGGGTGCTACGTAAATATTACCCCACGGTGGGCCCCCCGAGGCCCCTCACATCGGCTATTGGACCTGATTCAGGGAGGGCCACAGAGCGGGATCGGCCCTGATTAAGCAAGAAGGATTCAGCCACATTGAGCGGGACTCCGCCAGGACGACGCTTGTCTTTGACCGCGGACAAAAACATCCTGGCGCGGATGCTGACTGTGACCTGCTAGGAACTGAACCGTATATGGCAAGAGGGACCTGGAGGAAGGCGGGACACTCCCTGCTCTGACGGTGGGGAAGACTTACGACATCGTGAAAGAAACGGCCACGACCCCAAACTCGACTGGCTATTGAATTGATGCTATGTGTTTCTTTTCCCCGGTTCCAGCGCCGTGCCGTTTCTGGTTCCGTTGCCGTGTTGTTGTTCCAGCTCGGGCTTCGATCCCGGAGCCGTGCTCAATTTCGGAAAAGCGTTGCTGTACCGTTTTCATTATTTATCTTTCGATTTGCGGGGATTGTTTTTTTTTTGGGGGGGGGAATCTGCAAGCAATACCAAGCCCTGGACACTATGGTTTGCTTGTTTGTTGTGCTTGTGTGTTTCTCGAGTCATATCGACCTGTGAGGACTCCCGGGATCAACACCATATGAGAAAACGTCCGGCCCGGAACAAATGCGACGGCAGGACCTCATGGTGGAGGGATCAAAAACCTCCCACATGGGGTCGGAACAAATGGCGCCGGCTAGATCGGGAAGGCCCCACGGCCCGATATCTATGGGAAAATGCCCGACTGGACACAATTAGGCTACCAAGACTTGGACGCCCGAAGCGGTGACGGAAAAATTGGCACCGTGTCCGCCAACAAAACGTTGGAGCCTCGCCAGAGTGCAGAAATCAATATCTGGGTCAAAAGACAAAGAAAAAACATGTCTGGCCGCCAACGACCGGTCCCCGCATGCGACAAGCGCCAAGCATGGGAGCGCGGGGGCGACAGCCCACAGCGGCGCGCCCCCAGGCGAGCCGAGAAGTCATCTGGCGCCCCGCCGGGCGAAGCTGCATGGCGACGCAAAACTTTGGCGTGCTCGAGTCCAACCAAAAAAATCACATGGGTACACCATGAGTTGCTTGAGGCCACTTCTGGTGTACAGTCGAAAAACCGAATGGAACACACAGGAACTTAGCACACCGAAAAAACTGAAAACCAGAATTCCTCGAACGTTCCTCAGACGCTTTCGCTTAGCTGCCACCCTCTTAACGGCCTCTGCGCTGGCCCCCTCTCGACCATGCGTCTGACCTCGGTTCAACGGCTCGCCGAGGCGTGTCAGTGCCCGCCGCCGTCGAGGCACCAAAAATTGCTGTCAGGGGAAAATGCATTTCTGTACTGATCCACACACCCGAAAACGATGCCCCCAACCGACATCGGCCTATGTTGGCCATGCCCCAAATGGACAACGTCCGCGGCGACGCCGATAGCGAATCCGGTTCAGAATCAACCAGAACTGCTATCGATCTTCGTGCTCATTCGGGCGTGTTTTTTTTGTTCCCACTTTTCGCGATCGCGACCGCTGCAAGCCCCGGCCGCCCTCCGCCCCCCGACATCCCCAAACGGCACCGGCGCGAAACGTGACGTTGCCGCCCCCCTCCCCGTCCCCCCCCCCCGGGGTGGCCGTTTCCGCGGCGACCGCCCCCGCCCGAGAACCGCAAGAGCGCTCGCCTCTTCCCGTTGCCCCTCCGTCCGCCGCCCCGCGAGGGAGGCGCGGGCTCTGCTCCCCCTCTGCTCGTGCGGGGGGGGGGGGGGGCGGGGTGCGGGGAGAGTCGGGAGCGGCCAAGAGGGGGGGGTCCAAGAGGGGGGGGTGCAAATCATTACCGGCGGCATGTGCGCGGCCCAGCGGGGGGGCCAAGGACGTAATGAAACAAGAAGAGGCGCCATGAAACCTGGGGAAATATCATGGCCCCCGCCATGATATCCACCCCCCCTAATCATCACACCCCTCTTTTCCGCCCCCGAGAGAGGGGGACGCGGTTGGCCTCCTCCGCCCCGGGAAGGCAGGCGCGGGGTCTGCTCCTCTTCCGCCCTCCTCCGCCGCTCGATCTCCGACTGCGCGGCGGCCATGCCGCGGCGGCGGCGCTCGATCTCGGTGAGGCCGTCGTCCTGCGGGCCGCGGCGGGCCGCCCGCCGCCGTGGCGCCCAGGCGGCCACGGCGCCGCAATGGCCAGCCGAGGCTCTGGTCAGGGCCCCGCCCTGCAAGATGAACAAGCGAGGGCAGTGGGCCCCTCCGCCCGCCGCGTTTCCCCCCCCCCCCCCTCCTCCTCCGCCTTCCTCCCTCCTCCTCCTCTCCCTCCTCCTCCGCTCCCTCTTCCTCCTCCTCCTCGTCCTCCTCCTCCTCCTCCTCCTCCTCTCCTCGTCCTCCTCCCCCTCCTCCCCCATTCTTTTTCCTTATAAATAACTTCTCCCTGTCGCACCCCGACGCCAATTTTTATGTCTTTTCGCCTGAGACTTCCTTGCCACTTATGACCCTGACGCGTCAAAATGACAACAGCTTCACGGATTGAGGGAGGGTCGTTTTCAAAATGTGGCTCTCGCCCTAGCGCCGCGTACGCTCGTATGAAAAATGACAAGAGCTTCACGAATGGAGGGCGGGTGGTTTTCAAAATGTGGCTCTCGCTTTAGCGCCGAGCACACTTGTTGAAAACATGTGCAAGACTTTCACGAATCGAGGGTCGTGTTCAAAATGTGTCTCTCGCTTTAGCGCCGAGCCCATTCGTTTAACACATTTGCAAGATTTTCACGAATTGAAGACGGGTCGTTTTCAAAATGTGGTTCTCGCTTTAAAACCGCGCACGTTCGTTTTCAAACTCTGCAAGAGCTTCACGAATTGAGGGCGTGTCCATTTCAAAATTTGGTTCTCGCCTTGGCGCCGCTCACACGCGTTGCAGCTATCTACAAGAATCTCACGGGTTCCCGTAATCAGCGTGCCAAAGACGGATTCGTTGAAGGATTCAGGATTGTGTGGGGGGCACAATGACGTTGATTCGCTGTGCTGAAGTCTCAGGAATGGTGTTCTGGCTCAACTCAAAATCGCCAAGCCGCAACAATCATATTGATCCGTGGCGTTGAAATCCCGAGAACATTGTTTTGGCATGCTTCAGGGTATTTAAACTGTTGTCTTCCGGCGAGGCAGTTCCCTCGATAGAAATGAACCTTTCTAGGGGCCTATGAAGGGGGAGCTTGGAGGGAGGATTTATTCTAACATCGTTGATGACTTGTGGGTTTCCACTGGTCCTCCTCCTCTTCCTCCTCCTCCTCAGTTTCACTTCCTCACAGAAGACTCCTGCCTGCCGCGCCCCGAATAGAATTGGTAGAGTGGGCCGGGCGTTTCGCCTGAGACTTTCTCAAACTGTGCAACAGCTTCACGGATGGAGGGAAGGTCCTTCTTCTAACGTGTTTCTCGCCGTATCACCGCGCATGCGATTACTAAACGCTTGGTAGAACTTCACGGACGAAGGGCGGCTCCTTTTCAAAATGCGGCTCTCGATTGGGCGCCGCGCGCACTCGTTTCAAAATCCTGCTGCAGGTCAAGGCTTGTCATGGTTGACGTCTCAGAAATGGTGTTTAGGCACAGCGTAGGATTGTACGGGCGCAACAATTACGCTGACTAGCGGTGTTGAAGTACCAGGAACGGTGTGCTGGCACGATTCAGGATCGTCAAAACACAACATTAACATTGATTCGCGGCGTCAAAGTCCAAGAGATGGTGATTTGGCACGGTTCCGGATTTTCAAGCGGTTGTCTTCCAACGGGGCTCTTCCTCCGTGAAAGGGCCAAAGGCGTGCTAAGATCTCCGGTAACTGCTAAACAATACTTCTAGTTCGCGCGCGCGGGGCGGCCCCTGGGGGTCCCCCGGCGAAAAGTACCCCGACCGCCGCCCGACCACTGCTACTCAGAGATGGTTTTCCTCCTGGGTGTGGCTTCTCAGGCCCCCCAGAGCGCGCCAAGAGTGCCCCAAGAGGCTCCCAAGACTGCCCAAAGGGCCCCCGAGACGCCTAAAGAGCGCTCCAAGACGCCGATGATGACCTCAAGACGGCCCAAGAGGCCTCCAAGTGGCCTCCAAGAGGCCTCACAAGAGGGCCCTGAGAGGCCCAAATCAGACATTTTACGATGGTTTTGAAAGAATTTGGGCCTTGTCCCCTTTTCGGCCATCCGATGCTCCAAGACGGCCCAGGAGGCCCCCAAGAGCACCCCAAGACGGGCCAAGAGGCTTCCACGAGGGCCCCAAGAGGGCCCAAGAGGGCCCCGAGACGACCCAAGAGGCGCCCAAGACGGCCCAAGACGGCCCCAAGACGGCCCCAAGAGGGGCCCAAGAGGGGGACCACGAACCAAAACCTCGAGCCTTCCGCCCCAAGAGGGCCCCAGGAGGCCCCGAGAGGCCCCAAAGAGGCCCCAAGATGCCGCCAAGAGGCCCCCAAGAGGTCCCAGGAGGCCCCCAGGAGGCCCCCCAGAAGACTTCAAAAATGCCTCCCAGGCGCCCTCGAACGGCTTCTGAAAAGACCCCAAGAGGCCTCCCAGAGAAGCATCTTGACGACGACCCTGTTTGGCCCCAAGAGCAACACAAGATGCCAACGAGAGGCTTCCTCCTCCGCCCCTTCCTCTTCCTCCTCCTCCTCCTACTTATCTTCATCCTCCTCATCTCCTTCTCATCCTCTCCTCCTCCTCCCCTCCCCTTCCCCATCCTCATCTTCTTCCTCCTCGGCGGCGCCACAATGGCCCCGGGCCCACGGCGAAGCAGTAGCGATCATGCAACATGGGCCGGCGGAATGAGCGAAGCGATTGAATAAACACTCCTTTTAGGGGGAGCTCGGAGGGAAAGTGTATTGCAACATCGTTGATGGGTCTCGGGTTTGTACTGGTCCTGCTCTTCCTCTTCCCCCTCCTCATCTTCCTCCTCCTCCTCGTCCTCCTCCCTCTCTTCCTCCTCCTCCCCATCTACCTCCCCCTCCCCCTCCTTCTCCTCCTCCGCCGCCGACGCAGCCTGCAGGCAAGGAGGGAGGAGGGAGGAGGGAAAACAGACCACCTCGAGTCGTGAACAGAAATCACGGCTGGAGGGTTCTAGTATCTAGTAATTTTCGGGGATATACGCGAGGTGTCAAGAATGATTCTTCAAAGTGGAGGCTCGCCCTCTCCCTCGACTCTCCCCCCCTTCCTCCTCCCTCGTCTTCCTCTCTCTCTCCTCCGCCTCTTCTCTCGCCTTCTGTCGCGGCTCCTCGCCCTTCCTCCTGTGCCATCGCCGAGCACATTCGGTTTTGACTGCATCCTACCTATGTGATACGGCCGTGAGCCGAAAACTGCCGAGAGGCACTTTGGCTGGCAACCCCCAGTCGCGGGATGCCGAGGCCTGCGAGCGAGGTGGTCACCCCAGGTCTTCTCCTCCGACCGTCTGTCTTTGGCCGCAGCGGAGCTACACCACCCCCTCCGCCTCGTCCTTTCCCCTCCCCCTGGAGCCCCATCAAGAGCATCCTAGACTACCTTAGAGACCCAGGGAATCCCGAAGCTTGAGCTCCCGAGAGCTCCCCAGAGCCGCCTGGACTCTCCAGAACCATCTGAAACTTCCCCCACTCGAGTTGTTTCCTCCCTTCTTTGAAAGCCAAAAAGTCGTTGGTGTCAGCGTCGGCCTGCCCCGTGTGGTTGGTTGTGGCAGGTCCTGAAGAGGATGGCCAACCACACGCCGAAACGCTGGTGGCGAACTGGACCCGGGGTGCCCGAATAGTTGGGCATACTCAGTCCTAGACCAGATATGAGCACTTGTGTTGACTTATGTTGCACTCATTTCGATATGCCTGGCAAATGACGACTCGTCCTCCTCGTCCTCCTCCCCCGCCCTCCCGGTCCTCCCCCGCCCATCCCCCTCCCTGCTCCTCTCCCCCATGGCGTTTTCTCCGCCGCCGCCCTGCGCTCTCTGCCCCATCCGCGCTCGCCCGGGGCAGAATCGCTGCACCCTTCCTCGAGGCACCCCATTGAAACAGACAGTGTCCTCGAGCTTAGCCACCGGCTTCGTGGAACCCTCCTTCGACGGCAGCGGCACCGCAGGCTTCACGGGCTCTGCCAGCGCCGCCTTTCCAGCCCGGGCCCCCCGCAGCGGCGGCGGAGGCGAAGCGGAGAGCGGCAGGAGACGCAGAAGCTGCCGAGTCGCACGAGGAGAAAGATCAGTCACAGTAGCTTCACGCTCGATTGCTCGGGGAGGACAAAGCCGCATAAACATGATATCTCGGAGGCCCGCGCGGATGACTTCAATCGGTCGCTGCCCCCCCCCCCTCAATGGAGCGCGCAGCGCGCCGGAGGCGCCGCCAGGGGGCCCACCGCCGATCCAAGAAGTCCGCGCGGACCTGCGAGAACTTACTGGCCATCGCTTGGACGTCCATTTCCTGTGTTTTTCGCCGGTTTCGTGCGTGTTTTTTTCGCCAAATGATAGAGGATGCTCCTCGATGGTCCTCGCCGGAGGAAAAGTGCACACGTCCGAGCGATGCCAAGCTTATGACTGCGCAATGTGATGTTGTGTCTGCGATGCTCGCCCGGGCAGAGGAAGCGAGACGCTTGACTCCTCGGAACGTGCACCTCGAACCCGCATGCTGCCTGGCGGCAGAGGTGCACGGGGCGGACGAGCCGAGACTTCGTCAAAGGCCTCTTCGCAAGCGCGCCCGAAGAGCGAATCGAGGGGGCCAGGGCGTTTGGCAGGCGCACAGGGCGGTCTGGTGAGCGCCTACTACATTCACCGTGCTGCCTGAAGGAATGCTGAATGAGGAAGGAAGGGTTACTTTCTGGCCAAGGCGAGCCTCGGCTTCGAATAGGTCCCCCGACCAAGATCTGAGGATCGACCGAACACCAACGCCCCCCTTGTGCATGAAGTGGTCCTTGCTTCAGCGTCTCGGCTTTATGGGTGTCGGGTTGGTCCCTCCTCCTTCGAACGGCGCTTGGGATGGAGAGGAAGATGGAGGAGAAACAAAAACATGCACGTAAACATTCGGATGCCCGCGCGGATTTCTTGGATCGGCGCTGGACCCCCCGCCCTGGCGCGCGGAGCCATGGGCGGCGCGGGAGGCGTCGCCAGGAGGGGTCAGGGCAGCTCCGAGAAATCCGCTATCCGTAAAGCTATGTGTGTGTGTGTTTTTTTTTTCGAGCTGAGGAGCGGGGGGGAACGGAGAGAGGGTCCGAACATCAGCTCACGGCGCCAACATGGCAAAGGGCGGGGTCGCGCGCAACCGGCACTGGAGCTCCGACGACGCGTCGTCGAGCCCCGGGCCAGGCAGGACGAGGGGCTCTATATCTAGGTCGGGCATGTCCTCCTATAGGCGCATTTTGAAAGAAAACTAGGACACAGTCGAAACGAATCAAACATGGTGGAAAAAATCGTCCCCAGACTATTTCTCGCTACCCTTGAATATTCCTCCTGCAGAGGGCCACGCCCGACTTCACTCTTATCTGCTGCAGCGCGCTACCCCCCGAGGGGCCTCAAAGGTTCGGGGCCGCCACCTGACCACCTCGCCGATCCTGGGAGCCCCCCCCCCTGGGGCCCAGGGCCGGTGCACGCGCCCCACCAGCCTGGCTGGGGAAGCACGTGCGCGCCGATCCCGGGCCCAGCACTGCCCGGGCCCGGCTCGGCAGGGCGGCCAGTGTCCCTTGACAATGGTGCGCGTCCAGCTCTGCATCGGGCCACGCCGTCGGCCCGCATCAGAAGGATGCGCGCGAAGGATGCAGGGGCCTTGGACGCCCATTCCGAAGCTTTTTCGAGCGGAGCGCGGCCAACGAAAGTGGCCAAGGATGAACCGAGGTGGGAAGGATGCAAAGGTACCCTTGGGAAGGATGCACATCCTGCTCTCCCCGGGGAAGCTGGGCGACCCCGGAACGCCCTCGGCGAGGCGCAGGCGCTGGCAAGCATCCCGAGACTTGCAAACCGCCGAGAACCGACGAACACGTTCGAAAACCTCGAACCGCGAAACTTCGATCAATGATCAAGAACCAATGCCAGGGCCTCTCCTGGTGTGCGTTCCGACCAGAATTCTGAGGCGGATCCAGCCGTGGCCACGAGGACGCCCCAAGACGATCAACAACTTCCCCAGAGCGACGTCCCTCCTCGACGTTGCCCCTTGGAAACAACGATCTGGAATCGGCGATACATTGCTGATAGATCGGCGATTGGCCTGCGATTGCGAATCCGCACGGTCCCAGACAGAGTGGGCTATCTGGCCCCTCTCGGCGATGAGGGGGCGATTGAGTGTCGATGCGTGAGCGTATCCCCCCCAGCGGTAAGTCGGGCCTGTCCCCCTACAGGAGGATTTTGGAGGAAAAATGAAAAATAGTAAACAAATGCTCCAAAATGGTCAATCAAAACAGAAAAATACTTCCCATCGTATCCGCCGGCCCCCTTGTGGGGCCACCAGGCTGTAGGCCCGTGATTCGCAGTTTCCTGTACCAGTCGTAGGTTGTAGTTTCCAGTGTTACAGTTCTGCTTCTTGCTGGTTACTGTAACTAGTTGACTTATTGCTGGTTACTGTAACTAGTTGATTGACCGCGCGAGGGGGGGGAGGCCCAAACCGGCTTTTTAGCACCCCCTGGGCGCGTTGTCTGAATTGCTGGGGGGGCTCGAAATCGACACCCCTCACGCAGATCCGCGGGGTCAGGGTCCAAAAACACAAGGGATTTGCCACATTTCTGAAATTCGGTGCCACCCCTCACGCAGATCCGCGGGGTCAGGGTCCAAAAACACATGGGATTTGCCACATTTCTGAAATTCGGTGCCACCCCTCACGCAGATCCGCGGGGTCAGGGTCCAAAAACACAACGGATTTGCCACATTTCTGAAATTCGGTGCCACCCCTCACGCAGATCCGCGGGGTCAGGGTCCAAAAACACAGGGGATTTGCCACATTTCTGAAATTCGGTGCCACCCCTCACGCAGATCCGCGGGGTCAGGGTCCAAAAACACATGGGATTTGCCACATTTCTGAAATTCGGTGCCACCCCTCACGCACATCCATCGCAAGGCGTGGAAACCCAAACTGCGAGTACTCCCTCGGCCCTTTAATCCCAAGGTGTGGTAACCAAGCTCGTAAACCATACACGTCTTACCAATCGCCCTGTGTGGTAACCCCTCTTGTGATCAGATGGTTTTGCCGATTGCGAATCGGCCTCGCACGAAGTTCCGATACTGCTGCACGACAGCGCCAAAGCCTCATGACTTAGCTCTTCCATGGCCCATTCTCCGAGAGAGGGGGCCGGCGGCAGGGGGCGAAGCCCTTACGGATATTTTTGTTGGCTATTTTTGAACATTCCTCCTGTAGAGGGACAGGCCCGACTTAACCCTACCGCTGCCCCCTGGTTTTCGTGCCATGACTTGGCGTTCCGGGCCGCCGTCCGGGACGATCCGGGTACCCCCAGAACGCTCTCGACGAGGCGCAGCCGCTGGAGAGCACCCCGATACCAAACGAACACCTCCAAACCCTGGAGTCTCGATATCATGTTGTTTTTGTTGTCTGATGCGCGATTTTCAGGAAGTCCCGACCCTTTCCCCGGGGCCGGCTTTTTCAGGACGAGTCATTATTTGACGGCCCTGGGGCCCGGAGAAGGACCCCTCAAGGCCGAAAACTGCCTCAGACCACCCGTCGTGACGTGATCACGACGCGAGATGTTGGGGTCCTCCCTGCGTCTCCCCACTGAGCCGATTCCCGATTCCCCCTCCGAACTTCGTGACGTTATCACGACGCGAGATGTTAAGGTCCTCCCTGCGTCCCCCCTCTGAGCCTAGTCCCCCTCCGCACTTCGCCCCCAGGTCAGATCAGTCCACGACTGATGGAGGAGGAGGACGAGGAGGAGGAGGAGGAGGAGGAGCAGGAGGAGGAGGAAGGGGAGGAGAAGGAGGAGGAGGAGGAGGAGGAGGAGGAGGAGGAGGAGGAGCGCCGCGCCAAGCCAGGTCCCCAAGAGCGCAGGGCAGCCTCGGCAGTCGCGATACGTGGGCGCCGCGGCGCGACGTTGGGAGGCAATCTGAGCCCGCCTTTTAGTGTTCGCGCGAATGCCCGTGACCAATGTCCGAGCCGCCGCAACTGCTGCACTTGATTTCTTCTACTGGCTGGTAAAAACGCGTGCCGCCTCCTCCCCCCGTGTTCCTCTAAGGGCTTCCACCCCCGAGAGACAGATTTAAGTACAGTGCCCTGTCTGATGAGGTAGATACACAAGGAGGCGGTCATTGAACTGGCAGTCCAGCTGATTCCACGCATTCGGAGTTGCATCGGTCAGCATCATGTTGCGGCCCAGATGCAGATTACACACTTCTCTGTGGCGAAAGGTTGGCATGCAGGTGCAGTTGTACCAGCAGCTCACAGTGACTAGGGCTCACACTGATCTGCACGAAACCGAGGTCACGCGAGGGACCGAAGTCCAGAAACCCTCGAGCAAGGAATGCTGTACAGCAGTGCTTTGTGCTCAGAGATGAGCTGAAGATGGGTCATGCGGAACTCGCCGAAGGAGAAGCCAAAGAGCACGCAGCGTTGCGCCAAGGTCGCCGTTGAGAGGGTGTTTGCATCATTGCGGGGCGACGAGTCATGGCATCAATAAATGTGACAATGGATGGCCGGGCGATCTGATGCGCGGAAGGCGGAGGGTGTCACGCACCCCGCTTCTAAATGGTGCGCCTCAGGAGGGATGGGACCCACCCCCCCAAGCGATACCGCCAGGAAACGGCATGGGCGATGCTGGTTTAGGGGCCTCCGCCGCAGCCAACGCCGCCGCGTCGTGGGGCGGTCTGCCACGTCCTCCTTCTCGGAATCGGCAGTGTCAGCACATGCCATCCTCGTAGGAGTCGGCGAGGTCGTCGAGCGCACGGTCGTCGTTGGACGCGGACGCGGCGTAGCCATCCTCAGACTCGAGCGTGGCCGTTGCTTGGGTCAGCCTCGGAGGCCAGCCGTGCGTTGGTGTGAAGGCAGGCCTACACATGTCGCCGCCAACGTCGGAGTTGCCATCGTCTGACTCGTCGTCGGAATCGGAGTCGCACAAGCTGGTCCATGCTGCATTTTCTGCAAGAACAGCGAAGCAGGGCTCAAGGGAGTCTGCCCCCGACGGCCCGAGGAGGTTTCTGAGAATGCTGCAGCTCGACATGCCAGTCGGGGCCTCGTTTGGTGCAGGTGCCTGAGATGAGGGTCCAATCGGCGTCCCCCTCGCAACGAGCGCACAGTCGTAGGTGAAACAGTAAGGCTTTAATTCCCGCTGGATGTTTCTGAGCGTGCGCATGAGTCCTGGTTATTCGGCATCATCGTCGTCCAGCCACGTTGGGCGGCACTGTCGAATTGTGCGAGCTCTTCCATCAGCTGGACGATCAGCCTAGAGAGCTCCGCCTGCATGTAGTGTGAATGCAATGCAAGTTGGATCCAGTCGCCATCAGGATGACGACAAACAGTATCGTACCCAGTGGATTTGAAAGCGTGAATCCAGGAGATACATTGCGGATCGCATTCAATAATTCACATCTTCAGATGTGGGAAGATACAAAGGCAGCCCGGGTGGCAACCCATCGCCGACGAGACCGTCTCGTCCCCGTTGAAATATTGTCCAACTCCGAGGAGTGGATCTTCGAGATGAATCTTAATTTCATCAACCCCAAGGCTCTCAGGGTGAACCAAGACGTGCAAGTTGGCCTGCCGGCCGCGTTCGCCATCATGGTCAGCCACAAGGATGAGGCCTGTGCCCAGAAACACCGCGAGGAGGTGGATGGCATCTTCACCAAGCCCCCCCCACTCCCTCCCCCTGGTCACATCACAATTCGCGCCGACTCTGCCTGCTGAAAAAACATCACACACTCAAGGAGGGATGGGGGAGGGCAATGTGATGCAGGCGCTATGGGTGCGGGTGCAGGTGCGGGTTGTCGGACCACGAGGGGGGCTACCGTTCGAGCGGGGATCCCCATCCGACAACGCACACCAACAGCACCACCCCACAATGCACTCGCGATGGACTGGCGACGCGGTGGGATGTTCGGAGGCAACGCCTGGGAGGTCTTCGCAAGAATGATTGAGGGAGAATGTTAGCGCTATTCAAGAGACACTCTGCAAGATAAGCCCGATTAAGTCAAATTGAACGGGAATGGGGCGGAAAAACGGCACTGCGCCGGATTAGGCTGGTTTTAGGCATAGGATCGAAATATCGCGCCGCATTGCCTGTGCATCGGCGATGCATCGGCGCCATCGGCGATACATCGGCGTGGGGAAAATCGGGCTCCACATCGGAGATGTGGCGCGATCCTCCGCCTCCCCACTCCGGCCCCAATCTAAGACGTCCGATGTCTTGAATTTCTCATCACGGGGTCCCTTGAAGTGTGAACCTTTTCCCTAATTCATGCCGGCCGGCTCTTCGTCCCGGACCAATGTTCGACGGTCCCAGGGCCCAGCGAGGGCCGCCTGTCTGGGAGTGGGGTGGCCTGGACGAAAGCCCGTCCTCCCAGCCCACCTCTGCGTCGCCAGGCTTGCACGCGTCCGCCTCCGTCTTCACCGTGGCCTTCCTTGCCCACCTGGGGCGGCCGGGGAGGGCTGGGGCAGTTCAGGGGTGGGCAGGACGAGGAGCATTGCCAGCTCTGACCCCCGAGGCGGAAGTGGAGAAGGGAGAGGAGAATCCCACCCTCTGGGCGTTTGTGGCTTGGCGAGCTCGTTCTTCCAACCTCCCTCTTCCACCCGGGGTAGGTGTGACGAAGAAGCGGAGGAGGGGCAACGACACCACGGGAACAAAAAGAGGAAGGCACCAAGGGTTGAAAACGGCCGTAAGCCACCGTCCTGGCTCGTGTCGTGAGGGGGAACGTTCGAGGGGGCACGGCTCGGGGGACATGTGGAACTGGAATCTTGGCGCCGCTCGGACGTCCATTTCCCCGTGCTTTTTTCGTTTTCATGTGTGTTTTTTTCGGCTCGATGGTCCAGGATGGTCCTCGATGGTTCTCGCCGAGAAGAAATGCACACGTCCGAGCGATGCCAGGGAGTCGGTGATACCTCGTCGAACGGTGAGCGATAGGCCCCCAGCAGCGAGACCGTACCTACCTGGGCGGGGCGGGCCGTCCACCACCGACCAGCGCTGCATGGGCGATCGGAGTCGCTGTACCGCCCCCCCCCCTCCACTGAGCCTATCCGCCCCTAACGCTGCCCCCGACATCGAGCCGGCGCGCGAGACTTGCCATCGCTCGGACGTCCGTTCCGGGTGTAGTTTTGGGTTTCGTGCGTATTTTTCCGGCTCGATGATGAAGGATGCTCCTGGATGGTCCTCGCGGAGAGAAGCATGCACACGTCCGAGCGATGTCAAGAGAGGTCGGCGCCACACCCGGGCCACTGCGACACCGCGAGCTCCGCGTCGGAGCTCCCGCGAGCCTCGGAGAAGTCGCCCACGCGGGGTCGTGGCAAGGGCCCGCAGACAGGGCGGGCATGCAGTCCTGAGGGGCGCCGGGGGGGCCGTTGGAGGCCCACGCCAAGCTCGTGCCAGCCGGCGCCCCCATCTCGAGGGAGCGTGTCGAAGAACTGGCTGGTCGAAGACGCCACGCCTGCGCTCGCCCAACTGGTTTGGGGATCATGGCGATCTAGTCGTCGAGCCAAGCAGCTGCAAGCACACACGTGTCACACATGCCAGAGAAGGTGGTCCTTGAAGTAAACGCAGGCCAGCTCTTACATGCACTTGACCCGACATCAATGAGCAGGAGCATGAGGAGCACAATGACGTTCACTTCGACACAGCGAATGGTCAGCCGTCCCAGCCACCGCAGTCCTAAAGCTCGCGGTGAATGTGAAAGTGCGCAACGGCATTGGGAGATCATGGCTATGCTAACCCGCCATATAAAGGAACTGTCACCCCATTCTACCTCGGAGCCTCTTGGGCACGGTTCTCACCAGCAACCTCACCAGCCTGCCGCTTCGTCTTGGGCAGCTGTGCGTCCATTGACCGCCCTGTTGCGACCATTCTGGGCCTGCTTTTGGGCTGTCGGCTACTGCGACAACGAATAGGACAGGCGGCGATAACGAAACGTAATGAGTGTAGAAATTGAATTGCATACTGCTGCGTTATGTGATTGCAAAGCCAATGCCTGCACTGATGGGGTGTCGATTGCCTGGGCTCGACACGGCCACCGTGGGCTCGAACCCGTCCTGAAGAAGCACTGCTGCTCCCCTCCAGGCAAAGGCTTGCTCGGAGTCGCTCTCCAGGGCCAAATCCTGCGGGACAGCGCCCTGCCCGCCCCGGCGGCAGTGGCCTGCAGGCCCTGCTGGGTGCTAGCACGCGACGCAGGGTGGCTTCCGCCCTGTGCGAAAAAAACACACACACGTATGGCTAAACGCTCCCAAGCACCGTCCACAACAAACGCCTGCGTTTGGGTGCCTGCTCCATCTGATTGCACTCCCCCGCCTCCATCGTCCCTCCCACAGATTCCTTCCCTCCTGTCCTCCTCCCTCCTCTCCCTCCCTTGTCCCTCCTTCCCCGCCCCTGCCCCTGTTGGCGGAGAAGGGAGACGGGGGGAGCGGAGGAGGGAAGGCAGAGAGAGCAGGAGGATGACGAGCCTGCCATACTCCTCATCCTTCTGCTCTCCCTGCCTTCTCTCTCCCCCATGCTCAGCATTGGGATGGGGATCGGGGAGAAGAACGGGGCAAGGAGGGGAGGACGACGAGGAGGAAGAGGCGGGCGAGGACGATGACGACCCCCGACGAGCTCCCAGCGGCGGGGGGGGCGGAACGCACCTGGCCGCCACTGGCCTCGGCTTGGCGCCATCGGTCTTGACGGGGACGTCTGGCGGGGGCATTGCGGCAGTGGCGGCTGGGGCGGCATCGCCCTTGCCGCCGCCCTTGCCCTTGCCCTTGCCCTTGTCGTCGCCGTAGTTGGGGTGGTTCTGCAGGAGGGGCGGTGCTCTGGCATACCACATGCGCCCCTCTCCGAATTGAGCCTGCTGCCACTCCCGCTCGTGGATGCCAAGCCAGGAGGAATGAACAACTACGTGAACATACACTTTCGGAACTCCGCTCAGATTTGCCAGAGCCACCTCCCGAGCCCATAGTGGTCCTTACTCCAACGTCTTGACTGTAATCTAGACCGCTGCCTGATCGCCTGCCGCACGAATGTTGGTATGCTTAACCGGGGCTGCACGCCCACGCGTTGCGGGAAACCGCCGCCGCCGTGGTCCAAAAGCAGGACCTGAAAACGGAACGCGTGTGCGCACCTCTTGTCACCTCTTGTCGGGGGTCGTCTCTTGACCATCTCACCGAGCTTGACCGGGCCCATCCTGAGCTCTCAAAAACGTTTGTCGATCCGCGCTTGTCTATGCCTGAATGTTTGCCTCTTTCTGCCTGTAGCTACGTGTGCTGTAGATGTCATATCCACGTCAATTCATGGAAACGTTCTCCGTACGAATGTTGGGGGACCAAAATCAACACAGCCGATCGACACTCAATTTTGGGCGTCGCGGCCACGCGCGCAGCGACGCTGCAGAAGCACTCGAAGAAAGGCCCGGAAGAGGCGCCATGGCCAACGGAGCGGCCTGGGACTCACACGGCCCAGCGAGAAACACGACACCGAGCGACACGCTGATATGTCGCAGCGCTGGCGCTGGCTCAAGAGCGGCGAGGGCGAGGTGCGCGATGGTGAATTAATTGATTACAACAAGGACAGCTAAACCGAACGACATCCTTGCACACGCGCACACACAAACGCACACATGTTGTTTGGCGTCGCGGCGTAGAAAGGTCGGGACAAGACACGCGCATGCACACGCAGACACACAAACATTCACACACACACACACACGCAGTTCAGCTCTTCAGCTCTTCAGCCTTTGCGAAAAAACAGTTCAGCACGGCAGAGCTACGGATCACGTTGGCAGTAGATTGGCCACCCCGCGTAAGGGGGCATGAACGCTAGGCCGGCAGTCCCGGGGATAGCCCAGTCAAGGGACACCTGACAAGCAAGTGCACAACACATAAACAAAAGCCGTGTTTTGCACGAGCGCCGAGGCGCGGAAAGCTGGGGAGGCATCAGGGCAGAAACGGAGGGTGCGCGCGCACACAAACTTTTTACGTCGCAGCGCGGCAGAGGCAATCCGCACGCGCTCTAGTAAGCGGGGATCGGGAACCAACAAGTTGCCCAGCTGCAGCAGGGAGCAAGAAGACGGAGGGCGGCCGCGGATGGCGGGCGACAGAGGGAGGGCACTCACTGCACGAAGAACTTCGTCAGGACTGGCCAGTGCGGCCAGCCAGCTCCGAGGCAGCTTGGCAGTGGACTCGGAACGACATCATGGCCACACCCAGGGGCCAAGGCAGAGGCTGCAGGCCCAGAGCGCGTAGGCCAAGGCGAACCAGTACGTGGAGGAGAACGGCGAGCGAGACCACAGATGCGGGCAACATCCAGGTGTTCGTCAGAAGGCCGTGGGCGACAGGCTTTGCTGCGGGCGCGGCGCACTTGGGATACGGGAAGGTCCAAGCGACCATGGGGACTGGGCCAGCGACCAGCTCGCTGCAACAACATGCAGCAATACTGCCATGCCGAGCTGCTGAGATCAGAACTGCAGGTCTACCAGCTCAACAGGACTGCCCGGGGCTGCTCGGCGCAGCGCGACGAGGACGCCCACAACGGATAGGGAGCACCCAAGCGGCTGGGTGGAAGGCAAGGAGGGGGATGGCCGGCCGGCCCAGCCGTCGCACGCATCACAGCCGGAGGAGCCAGGAACGCCTGGCCGCAGGAATGGCCAGTCGCGGGCGCCCAGCTGCGGGAACAGCGGGGCAAGCGGGAGGAGCTGCCAGCCCAGCCGGCGAGCGCGACCAGCCGGGAGGGGCGGGGGCACAGGGCTGGCCAAGCGGGGGCGCCCAGCTGCCAGAGCAGTGGGGCAAAGGGGCATGCACCTTGGGGGGGGGACGCTCCAGCCAGGTCCGAAGCACGGGGAGGAAGAAGGCGGGGAAGGGAAGGAAAGGCAGACGTAACCAAGTCGGGGCGAACGGCGGAGATCCTGCCGAACCAGACGATCGGCCAGCCCACCCCGAACTCCAGCACGATCCCAGTCCAGGTCCAGGCGAACGTCCTCGGCCGCCGTGCTGCTGGCGGACAGACCAGTCGCTACGGCCGTCTGGCCGCCGCGGTTCCCCATCAGGTGCCACGGCCTCAGTGGCGCTATCGTCGTCGGGGACCAGCGTCGGTCATGGGAAGGGCCAGGGTTGGGGGACGCCGCTGCCCTGGTGCTTTGCCGTGCGCGGGACCCGCCAGGGGACCCGCAGACTTCCCCGCCCGCCGTTAGCTCCTGGAGAGTTTGGTGCACTGCCCGAACGGCTGTACCCTGCTGTGTCGGGGTCGCCATTTTGAAGGGGGGGGGACCCCTCGCACTGAAAGGCATCCAGGTCACCAGGTACGCCGCTGACCGCAGGACAGCATTGGGGTAGGGCGTCCGCCCTCGCGCGGGCAGACGCTAGGCCCGTCCCCATCGAGGGGAGGGCCTCGGGTCATAGGGTCCACCCTGTGTGTTTGGGATGACGGGCGTCACTGCCGTCACGGGTGTGCCAGGGACGCTACAGATCGTCGCACGGACTTGTCGATCAACGCCGCGGTCGTTGTCACTCCTCGGGGCGAATCGGGAGGGTTGCCCTGATGTCTGGCGACGCCCTGGGCGATGTCGCCTCCCGAATGCGAAACAGGTACGCGACCGATCGCCGCACAAGATTGTACAAAGAGGTGTCGCGGTTGCCGTCCTCTCCGGGGGACGACCTGCCCCGGGTCCAGACAGCACCCCGGGCGACGCCGCGCCCTGAGCCTGCAGGCCAAACGGGCGGTTGTCCCTCCCTCGCTCGGGCGCCGAAATGGCCGCAGCACCGCAAACCGCCCCCGACGTGCGTTCAAACCACTTAGCCGCGGCGAATCCAACCGTGGCGACGGGGGCCCTCGGAGCCGCTCAGGACGGCGAAACATCCACCCGGGCCCGCCCGCGCCGCACGCCCGGATCCCAGACCCTGGACAGCCCAGTCTGAAGTTTCCAGGCCTCAAGCCGGCGGGCCCGCGTCCGGGCCACTTCCGCCAGCTACCCGCCGAGGGCGCGATGCGCCCACGAAGGCCAGAGCGGCGAGAACCGAAGCACGCCGGGCCGAAACAAGCGCGTGCCAGGAAAGCCAGGGCGGGGCAAGGACCGGGCAACCTCCAGACGCAGACTGGGCACACACGCAGACACAAAGACGCAGACACAGACACAGACACAGACACAGACACAGACACACGCAAACGGACCCACGCACACACACACACGCACACACACACACACACACTCACACGCACACGCAGAGACACACACACACACACACACACTCACATCGGACGCGCGCGGCCAAGGCAAGATACCGCTCGGGCGCTCAAGCCACACATAGACACACTTGTTTGGCGTCGCGGCCCCGCGCGCGGCGACGGGGCGTAGAAGGTCGGGCACAGGCGGTGTGAAGCGCGCGCGCGCGTCAACGCCCGGCCGAGCATTCAGAGACCGCTCAGCGTCTCGCAGCCCGCGGCAGCCATAACCACCTGGGCCTGGATGGCGTGGAGGGGCGATGAGCGGACGGAGGTGCGGCGAGGGTGCGAAGGTGACACAAGCCATAAGCAGACTGGGAGAGGAAGGTTGGAAGAGCGAGCAAGCAGGCGTGAACCGACGAAGGAGTGCGTCAAGGAGCGACGGGGAAAACGACCTGAAGGCGGCGGAACCACAAGAAGACGCAAGCCGAAGCACCGCGACATCCAGCGGAGCCAGGCGGCGCGCCAGAGATAGCGGCGGCTGGGAGGCAGTCCGCACAGACACACAAAACACACACACAAAAACACACACACACACACACTGCGATGCAACATCTTCACGAACAAGCGGAACAACGCATGGAGAGTACGGGGGCAGTCGCTGCAGTGAAGTGCTGACGAACGTGATCACTGGAATCAGGTGCGCACGTAACTGCGCAATGCACGATGTCTTACCCAGCTCCTTGCTCCACCGCATTATCCTCCGCATCCCTGATCGGGGTAGTTAACTCTTCTGGGCATCGTTTCTGGATGAGTTGGTGGGGTTACGCGAACCGTCTAGACTGGCATCTGGGGGCGGCCGAAGAAAGCCTCTTGAGCTTGTATGACCGACCGAGCGCAAGTCCCAAGGCCGGGTGAGGGCCCCCGGAGGTCGAGAACGGCAAACAACTGCCCATCATGACTTCAACAACGAGAGGTGGGGCAGCGCATCGACATCTCACTGCGTAACGTGCTCCCACATCCTGTGCAGAACAGGATTCGCCGCACGCTCCTTCGGCAACGCGACACCGTCTTGTCGCAGTGTCACGGGGCTGGCCACGGAGTGTCCGGTGATGTGGTCCGCGGAACCTGCGAACGACAGACTTCGGAGTGACCCGAACAGCGCAGCATGGAAAGGACTACATAACTGACAACCTTGCGGCAGAAGTCCCTGAACAGCTTTACGCAGCTCCTGTGGGGAGCTACGATAGGGGGTCACGATGGGGGGAATCGGAGATGCGATAGGGATATGGGTAGGGATCGGAGGTGAGGGGGTGAGATCGAAGTGGAACGGAGAGCCCCCCTACCGGGAAATCGATTTCGGTTTCGTGTTCGTGCGTGCCGTGCGTGCGGGCGAGGCGAAGCTGCGTGGGCAGGCGAGAGGAAAAACTCCTGTGGCTGAGGCGCGGCCGGACCAAATGATTCTCCACCGAGCGGCCGGTGGCGCGCGGTGTCCCGCCGGTGTCCCGGTGGTGTCCTCTGTGGCTGAGGCGCGGCCGGACCAAATGATTCTCCGCCGGGCGGCCGGTGGCGCGCGGTGTCCCGCCGGTGTCCCGCCGGTGTCCCGTCGGTGTCCCGATCATGATGTTGATGATGATGATGATGATGATGATGATGATGATGATGATTATGATGATGATGGTGATGATGATGATGGCACTGATGATGATGATGATGTTGATGATGGCGATGATGATGATGATGATGTTGATGATGACGATGATGATGATGATGATGATGATGACGTCGATTGCGAGATCGATTGTGATATCGGTAGTGAGACCGAATGTGAGATCGATTGTGAGATCGATAGTGAGATCGATTCTGAGATCGATAGTCAGATCGATTGTGAGATGATGATGGTGATGATGGTGATGATGGTGATGATAGTGATGATGGTGATGATGATGGTGGTGATGATGATGATGATGATGACGTTGATGATGTTGATGAAGATGGTGTCCCGATGACGAGGATGTTGATGATGATGTTGATGGTGATGATGATGTTGATGATGATGATGATGATGGTGTCCCGATGATGATGATGATGATGATGATGATGATGATAATGATGCTGATGATGACGTTGATGATGATGATGTCGATGATGATGATGGTGTCCCGATGGTGATGATGATTATTATGTTGATGATGATGACGACGATGGTGTCCCGATGATGATGATTATGATGATGATTACGATGATGATGATGATGATGATGATGATGATGATGATGATGATGATGATGCCGATGATGATGATGATGATGATGATGATGCTGATGATGATGATGATGATGATGATGATGATGATGATGATGAGAGTTCGATTGTGAGACCGAATGTGAGATCGATTGCGAGATCGATTGTGATATCGATAGTGAGATCGATTGCGAGATCGATTGTGAGATCGATAGTGAGATCGATAGTGAGACCGAATGTGAGACCGAATGTGAGACCGAATGTGAGACCGAATGTGAGATCGATAGCGAGATCGATTGAGTGAGACGTTGGTTCCCCCTCCCCCCTCACCTCCTTATCACCCGCAAGGTGGTCGTATAGGTAGGGATATAGGGTTACGGATATAGGGACACGGATGGAACGGGGATATAGGATAGGGATACATAGAGTTAGGAGTAGACACAGGGATAAGGGGATAGAAATTCCACTAGCCCTCTGGGGCAGGGCTACAATCGCGGCTAAATCTGGATGAGGCGCGGCCGTCGCGCGTTCACTGTCAAATGGCTTTTGGCAGGGACGGCGGGGGTGGTGGCGCGTGGCCTGCTGCGCGCAGGCTCACCAAACACAATGATGGGCATTGGCTTTTGCGGGGGCCGACATGGTTCCCGATGTGTGGTGTCACGTGCGCATGCGCACCTGACGCACCCTGCACCCGCCCCGATCGTGGCGCACCTGGCGCGGCTGGAGTGTGCGGCGCACCTTACGCACTCGGAGCACGTGGCGCATCTGGCGCACCAGGCGTGCCTGGCACGCTTGGGCTCAAGGGGTGCCTTGCGCGCGCTGCGCGCCTGGCACGCGTGGCGCACCTAGCCCAAGCGTCGCGCACCTGGGGTCGGCTTTGGTTCCCAGTAGCCGTTCATCCAAAAACGACCACTGAACATGCTCAGGCTCGGATGTTACTTATTTGTTGGGAGGGCGGGTGGGAGTGAGCTAGACGGCTTGCGGGCGGGTGGGCAGCTTGACCCGTCCCCCTACCCCCTCCCCCTTGGTATGGAGGGGTGGGTTCGCGTTTCGTTGGAGCGTCCAAGATGGCATTCATCTTACTAATGATTTGGGCCCAATTTGGCCTCCTGGGCGTGACGCTAATCTACTACGGCCCGCCCTTTGAGATGGTCCTTCAAGATGGCCGCAAGATTGCCCCCGAGGCTCCCGAGGGTGCCCAGGAGGCCCCAAGAGGCCCCAAAGAGTCCCCAAGGGACCCCAAATGGCCCCCCCAGGGGCACCAAGACGCCTCACGAGGCGCCTGGGACTGCCAAGTGACTCCCAAAACGCCCCATGAGGACTCCAAGAAGCTCTCGAAAGACATCCGAAAAGACTCTGAGAGGCATCCAAGAGGCCACTGGCCTTTCTGCTCGCCCTCCTCCTCTTCCTCCTCTTCCTCCTCCTCCTCCCTCCAGCTCCTCCTCCTCCTCTTCCTCCTCCTCCGCTGCAGACACCTCCAAAGGAAAGGATCGCTCGATAACAAGATCGGCAAGTTCTCAGCCACCATGAGGAGGTGCCGGCCGACGCTGTGCCGTGGCACCGTGCTCTGCGCAGGGTTTTGGCTCCGCCCAAAGCCGTGGTGAAGGGCGCGCGGGCTGGGCAGCTGCGCAAGCTTTGGGCTGGCGCCTCCTGGGACCTGGTCAAGAGACACGCCATGGGCTATCTCGCGTCGGCGGCCTGCCCTTTCTGCCCAGGCGATGCGCCGTGCACCAAGGGGCATCAGTTCTATGAGTGCCCGCACATCTTGACGCGAGTCGACGATGGGGACGGAGGCAAGCTGGAGGAGCTGCCTGAGAAGCTGCTCAAGCTACGCGACAGGATCAAGGATGGCGCTGGGGTCGGCACTGCCCACCAGGACTACGACCGCTTCGAGTTGGTGGTCGGCCTGCCGCTCCTCCCACAGCTGGTCAGGCCGGCAGCGCTGGAGGCCGAGGTACATTTCTGGGGCGATTGGGAGTCGCCGCTCAACTCACGCAGCACGATAGCCTACCACGACGGGTCGGGCTTCGACACCGCGTAGCCTGAGCTTTGCCGCTGCGGCTGGGCCGTGGTGCAGCTGATCGACCACAACATGCCCGTCAGGGCGGTGTTTGGCGCGCTGCCTGGGCGGCGCCAGGCCGTCGGCCGTGCGGAGCGCCGGGCTTTCCTGCAGATGCTGCGCCTGATGCCGTACGTCTCCCATGCTGTCACTGACTTGTCGGCCCTGGGCACCGAGATCGAGAGCTGGGACCCTGAGCTGGCCAGTGCGCGGGGCTAGCATCCTGACACCTGGCGCGGAGTGCTCGAGCAGGTGGACGGCCTCCCGCGACCCGGATGGTGCCCAGCGCACAAAAAGATGGGGATGTTTGTTCCTGCAGAGTGCCGGCAGGCACCACATTGGCGACCTCTACGGCAGTGCATGCATGGGCGGTTCTCTCCGCGGAGGCCGGGGCCCAGCTGCACGCGCTGCCCGAGCCCTCCACGGCGCCCTCCGCGCCAGGATGGACGGGCGCCAAGGAGCAGGCCAAAGCAGTTGGCGTGGCTGCTGGCGGAAGTCGGCTCGACCATGGATGACATCCACGAGGCCATCCTAACAAGGTCCCGAGCTGCTGCCCCTCCTGCACCCGTACAGCTCGCGCAGCAACGCCACCAGCTGGATCGGCGCGGGTCGAGCTGGCAAATGCGGCCTTTGTCTGGCCTCGGCGAGCTCGGAGACAGGGTGGAGGCGACTGGAGCACATTGAGTGTGCGCCCTCGGCCCTGGAGGGAATGATGGCGCGCGCTCGTGCACGCCTCCCCTACTCTGCCGCCTCTGCTCCTTCTGCTGCGCCGCTGCCGACAGCCCACGAGGAGGCCATCTCGATCGCCCTCGCGGCGGCGGATCGTGTCCTGGGAGCCGCGGTTGGCGATCAGGGGTGGACGGTCGCAAGCAACAGGGTTGCTGAAGTGGGGGGGGCCGCTGTGTCTAGCGCGTTCTCGAGTGGGCCCGATACTCTGTCCTTTTTCTCGGAGCCATTTTTTCAGCTTATTCGGGGACACCATATGGTCACCGAAAGCCCATTTGTCTACTGTATCAACTGTGGGGGATTCGCATCCACCCGCCAGTCCCCAGTGTTGATGGCTCACTGTAATGGCCCCGTCGACTGAGAGACCAGTAGGCTTCGTTCCACGGCCTTAAGAAATCTTAAGACCAAGCGTCACCCGCGCACGGGGATTCCCTTAAGTGGTGACACCCACGCGACTTCGGGATACAGTCGGCCTTGATTGGAGAGGACACGCGAGAGGACACAAGACCCTTGCGAGGGCCACATCGCCGTAGGAGTGTCAGAAGGCACGTGTCGCGAAGCACAGGACACAAGAGCATCCTTGAGCTGGCAAAGTCGACCTACTAATCCGGGCCGACTGTAGCCGCGTTTTCCTCTAATCAGTCGTGGCTCCCTCGTTTCCTCGGCGGACTCATTCGAATCGCGTGCCCTCCTCCTCCTCCTCCTCCTCCTCCTCCTCCTCCTCCTCCGTCCTCCTCCTCCTCCTCCTCCTCCTCCTCTTCCTCCTCCTCCTCCTGTCATTTTCCTTATGACTAACTACCCCCTGTCGCACCACGAGGCCAGTAGGAAGAGCAGTCTGGGCATTTCGCCTGAGACCTCTTCATTATGTAAGATCCTGAAGCTTAGAATTAGCAAGCACTTCACGGCTGGAGGGCGGGTGATTTTCAAAAAGCGGCTCTCGCTCTAGCGTCGCGCACATTCGTCTTAGAACATTGCAAGACGTTTGACCGATTGAGGGGAAAGCGTCTTCAAAATATGGCGACCGCATTAACGCCGCGCGCATCCGTCTTAAAACATTGCAAGCGTGTCACAGGTGGAGGGCGGGTCGTTTCCAAAATGTG